GAGCTAGATGCACCTGTTCCCCGCATCTCCCCTGCCATGGCTCGCCTCCGCAAGGCTCTGCAGCAGGCTAAAGCCGCTTCAGCACCAACGCCGCCCCAATCGCAACCAGCACAGCAAGCCTTTGCACCCGTCGCTCCTAGCCCCGCAAATTCCTGGGCAGAACACGCCCCGCCCCGCCTTGATCAATCTGCCGTGCAACGCCTGGTGCAAGCCTTTAAGGACGCCTTTCCCGGCGAACACCTCGACAGCGACGCTATGCCAAGCATTCGTCTGCTCAGCCTGGTCCATCGGTGGTTTCAACCGGGACACACTATCACCTGGATCCCATGGCAGCTCCGCTTGTCTGCAAAGCAGTATGACGAAATCATACAGAGCAAGGCCACCAAGCAAATCCGCACCGAAGCGCATCTCATCAGCACCGCATTTTTCGACGACACGCCCGAAATGGCTGTCGATCACCTTCGCCTCAGCTCCGCCTGGTTGCAACGCGTGCAAACGGTATTTCGCAACGCCATCGCAATATGCAACGGAGCGCACCTGCAGCGCTTGAAGGCGTTTGACAAAAAGGTTCTCGACCTCGCAACGCAAACCGTTGCTCCAGACTTGCATTTACGCACCGTTACCACGCAAGAGCTTCTCGTAGCCGATCGAAAGATCTGGCAAGAGATTGCCGCACTGCACAGCTCCGGGTGGTCCCTGGATGACGCCTTGCATGAAATCACTAGTGTCCGCTCGGACATTAGTTCCCTACTGCAACTTCGTGCCAAGCCCATGCCACCCGCACCGCCCCTCCGCCCCACCAGGGAAGACCGCATCCGCGGTAAAGGCGGCAAAGCAAACGGCAAAGGTGTGCGACAGCCCGGCAAGCAGCCTCGCACTCCCAACTCAGGCAACCAGCAAACAGCACCGCTCGCCACCAAACTTGGCGACAAGACTCTTTGCATCCGCTTCAACAAGGGCAATTGCACGAACAAGAACTGCAAGTTTGAACACGAGTGTGCGTTTAAACTGCCCTCCGGCCAGCCTTGCGGCAAAAATCATGCAGCGTGCAACCACAAAGTGGAAAAGCCCAGCCCGTCTTGAGACCCGCAGGAGATCGCATCCGGGAGCAATCTCTTGCCTGCAGCCCGGAACAAGCGCAGCCCTTCGCCTCTCTCGCTCTCCTGCGCATCCTGCTCAGCCTCCCCCTGCACCTCACCTAGTTCTAGGTCCCGCAGCCCCCCTAAGGCCCAGGTTGCTAAGCCGCCCTGCCCTGCCTCGCCTGCCTTAGCTCACAAACCTGCCCAGCCTTCCCCACAGCATAGCAACCCGTCCGCCAGTGATGCCTCAGAGTCTGCTGACAGCGACTCCGGCGGCCTTGCTCCAACCTCGGCTGCCTCCACTTGCACTCCCCCAGCCCGCTATCTCCTTTTTTGGCCGCCGGACCTTTTCCAGGATGCCAAGCAAATCAATCAGTCCCTGCACAGATTCGCTTCTCCACCCGCATTGCAAACCTCAGAAGGTCATTGGCATCCTGACGTCCTAGCTTCCATGCAGGGAGCGGCTTGGTCTGGAACCCTCGCAGTGCTATGCATTCTTGGCGACACCAGTTCCTACTCAGCATCTTTCCATCGCAGTCTCTGTGCCCTGCATCGCGCCGCAAACCTTCAAGGTGCACATGTCATCTTTGCATTCCCTCAGCCTTCTACGGAAGATATTTTTGACATGTACCTCCAACTTGCCCAAGAACTCGCAGCTACGTGCACATGGACGCGCTCGCCTCATCGCAGGCTCCTAGGGGTTAGCTGTTCCCTGCACAGCAAACTGCACTCAGACGGCATCCCGGACCTGCATTCCTTGGCTTCCCTCTGCGCCACAGATGTGACGTCACAGCCGCCTTCTGCTCCACTGCCTCTGCACGCACTGCACAGCCTAGGAGCATCCACTTTCCACTGCAAACGCTCCCCTGTTTGCGATGGTGCGGGAAATGTCATCTCCGCTGACCACATGCATTGCACCAATAAGCCCAGCACCCCTCTAGCTACGGTTGCGCAATCCCTGCTGGAGTATCTGCGTCAAGAACAACTCCTTAAGCCCATCCTTGCTCACCTGCACGCGGGTCTGCCAGAACCGCCCCTCTCGGAACAACATGGTTCCGTGCTCGCAGAAATCATTAGACTTCACCTTGCTCGGCACATGCCTGCAGCCGAAGCTCTGCGTATTGAACCAGGCCAGCCTTTTCGCCTCGAGATCCTTGAAATGCTCGCGCGCGCCATTGACGATCCTGACACAGGCCTCGTGTCAATTCTCAAAGAAGGGGTTCCCACTGGCGCTTTCTCACCGCTCCCGCCCAGCGGCCTCTGGCCTTCAGCTCCGCAAAACATTGATACGTCGTCCGATCTTGACCCGCGCCGCCTTGAGCATTGCGCGGGAAATTGGACCGCCGCTGAACGCGACCCCACTTTGCTTCAGCAGCTGGTTGACCAAGAAATTTCTGCTGGACACGTTGCGCCTTTCCACGGCTCCGCAGAAGACGCTGCAAAGCACTGGCCGCTCGGCACCGCTATCGGCAAACTTAATATAGTTCATGCAGACGGCAAAGATCCCCGCCTAGTACTAGATAGTTCTTTGTGTGGGTTAAACTCTTCTGTGCACCTACCGGAGCGTGTATCCATGCCAAGCGCCCTAGATGTGCAACGCACTTTCTTCGCCTCCGATCCTTTTGCTCGTCTGCAAGGCCTCTCTTTAGATTTTAAAGCTGCACATATGGCACAAAAAGTTCGCCCCGCAGAGCAGGGCACTCTGCTTTTTCGCATTGCCGACAAGCTTTATCATTACACCGTCTGCCATTTCGGCGCCCGCTTTTCTGCCTACTGGTGGCAACGCACAGGATCCCTTATCCTGCGCATCCTGCATTCACTGCTTTGCAAATACCCGCACAAAGCATGGCTATACGTTGACGACATCCTCGCCGCGCTTCTGCGTGATAAGCTCGACCAGCCGGTCGCCCTCATCGTTGCACTGCTTGCCGCGCTCCACGCACCCATTAGCTGGAAAAAGGCACAGCTCGGTGATCAAATCACTTGGTGCGGCTGGACCTTTTGCTTCCGCACAGAAACCGTCGCCTTGGTCCAGAGCAAACTGGAAAAACTCCGCCAACAGCTCTGCAAGCTTCGCACTGCCACCAAAATCCTCAAAAAGGATCTGGAAGCGTGCCTCGGACTGCTCAACTGGGCTACTACTCTCAGCCCGCACATGCGCTCCTTCATGTCATGCCTTTATAAAGACTTGCATAGCAGTGCAGGAACCCTCCACAGCATCGCCCCGCAGGCTTGGGCGCCTTTCTACGAGTGCCTTGATAGCACCGCCAAGCTTTCTTCCACGCCTCTTGGCTCCTGGCTGCCTCGCAATGCACAGCTTCTTGAGGTTGGATCTATTAAAATACATTCTAAGTCTGACGTGCCCCGCGTGCCGCCTTCCCACAAGCACCAGTGGGTCCGCCTGGCCGATCCTAATCGCACAGAAATTCACCTCAAACAAGACAGCAAATTTTGCCTCGCCTGGCTAGAGCTTTGTTTTAAGCACGAGCAACCACGTAGCCTCCGCACTCCTCCCGTCGCGCCCTGCATGAGCGCCGCGGATGCCTTCGCCGACACCGGCCGCATGGGCATCGGCGGCTGGCTCAGCACTTCATCGCACTTTGTTTGGTACAGCGAGATCTTTACTGCCGACGAAGTCCGAGCCGAGTGGCCTCAACTGCACGGCTCCATGCAAAGCTACATAGCCTGTTTCGAGGCATTGGCACAGCTTGCACTCGCCCATTGCTCATGGGCTCTCCTTCGGCATAAACACACGCGTTTTGTGCTTCCCAGCGCCAGCGACAACACCTCCGCTGAGAGTGGCGTAAACCGCCTGTTTACGACAACAGAACCGCTCAGCACCTTTTTGCGCCTTGCCGCCACCTGGGCGCACCTGCACCGTGTCCAGTTCCAGGTCGAGCACTTGGCCGGCGAAAAGAACACGTGGGCTGACGCCCTCAGCCGCGGACGCCTGGCCTTCATTAAGCAACGCAGTGCCGAACGCGTTCGCATCAGCCTAGCGCAGCTCGCATCTGCTTCGCACACAGTTTCACTTCGAGGGGAGGAGAACACCTTCCCCCCTCGCCTCTGCGAGGCACAGCGCAGCCTACTGCGTTGATTGGCTAACCGTCGTGAACCGGAAAAAACTCTGCATCAGAGCTTTGCCACCTGCACGCCTCGTGCTCTGGCACGTTTCCTGCTTTCTCTATGTCCGCCCCGACAGGTCTCCTTCTACATCCTCGTGCGAGGGGGGATTTCTGAGCCCGCGAGGCAGAGGATGCTGAAGTCGAACTAAAGAGGGGGAAAAGAGCTCGGCAACGCACTGCCCAGCTCCTCCTGTTACTGGGCATCGCATTGCCTCGCACCGACTTCAAGCATCCTTCGCGAGTAAAAAGAAGAGAGCGCTTCCTCACTCTGTTCTGCATTGTTCAGCAAACTCACAGTATTCTTACTGAGAACGCTTGTCGTGAGTTTGTTGTTTTGGTCGACAGTGTTTTCGGTAAGTACTTGAGCTTGCATTGCTTCGCCCTGCGCCGCACTGCTAGCTCAAGCTGTCGACCCGGATCGCTTCCGATTTTAGCTTTTTTCACCCACCCTCCTCAACCCGGGGGAAAAGAGCTCGGCAACGCACTGCCCAGCTCCTCCTGTTACTGGGCATCGCATTGCCTCGCACCGACTTCAAGCATCCTTCGCGAGTAAAAAGAAGAGAGCGCTTCCTCACTCTGTTCTGCATTGTTCAGCAAACTCACAGTATTCTTACTGAGAACAGTGAGGTTCAGTGCTAACGCGCTGTGTGCAAAAGAAACGGCTCTGTGACGCAATTCTGTCCGACATGCTGTTGCAGAGACAGGGTTTTCACGGCGCTGGACAGCTTGTGCACAGTCTGCAAGCTCGCTGCTAGCAGTTGTTTGTGTTGGAGTGGAGAGTGTCTGTGCGTATGCTATGTGGTGCATCCTGGAGCAAGAGCTCTTTATTGCTTCTGATTGCTTTCCGCCGGCAGGAAGGACCAAGAGAGGCGCCACTGCCTCCTCCAGCTGCTGCCGTCGAGGCCGAGCCAAGTTCAGCAGGGTTTTAGACATAGTCAAACTGTGATGCTGTCCTACAGCCCCACAACCAGGTGCAGCGCTTGTCAAAGGAAATTGCGAGCACGAAGCAATCATTGAAGCGATTGCGTCGTGCAGTTTCCAACCTGTTCTTGACAGCTCGGCAGATTACAATTGTCTTGGCCGTTTACATGCTGTCGGAGTATGACATCGGGGTAGCTCGGGCTTATGTTCGTTTCGTCCACTGTCAATCGCGGACCAATGCTGATGCACACACTGAATACACTGATGCCACACTGGATGCCCGCATTGAAAACTGGTATCTCGAAGCCGCTCTAGACAAACTGGTGAAGCTTCAAGACCCTGGTCCAGTACGTCGGGAAGCTGTTCGGTTTTTGGCACAAAATCAGACAGTTTTTTGGGTTTCCAGGCAAAACGAGCGCGGCGTGGCGCCTACATCCGCTGCTACAGCATCGGTGTTTGTGCAAACCTGCCATAAATATGGAGTGCTGGAGCAGGCTTTGGTTAGATCAATCCACAACAACACGATCTCACACCGACATGGTCGCCACATGCGCAAATGGGCAAAACGATATCGTGAAAGGTTCCATCTGCGATTTGGTGTATTGAAGAGCGGACCAGTTCCAGGACCAGTTGAGGAGACTCGACGTAAGGCGGTTCGGCGGCATTTTGGTCCGTTTTTGCGTTCCCTAAACTGGTACCAAAAAAAGTGCCCAAAATGGGAACGTTAGTGGGAACGTAGATACGGGAAGGTCGAAAACCCATCCTCCCAAGGTTCCCCTTTTGAGACCCCAAGGTTGTGAAGTTTTTGCAGTGGGTTTCGTGGCTTCGAAGCAGAGTTCCGGAAGGCAAACAGGCCGTCTTTATCAATGTGGACGAAACTAGCATATCTCTGGCGCGGCCAGACCTCAAGGGCAATATCGTGCCCGGAAAGTGCTCCTTGCAGCAGAAGGGAAAGCGTACAAGGGGTGCCTTGACCCACGTGGCCAGCATTTGCAATCGATCCGACATCCAGCCGTGTCTTCCGCAAGTGATTTTGAGCAACACACGTGTTGTGAGTCAGAAGCTGGCCAAATCGTTGTTGCCCCTGCAGCCGGAAACAGTGCGATTGGTACGGGGCAAGACTGGCTGGAGTACAGCTGCTTCCTTCGTAGAGTATTTGAAAATGCTTCGAGACGCACTATCACTGTGGCCAGAGATTCAACTTATCCTCGTGATGGATTGTGCTCCAGCCCATCTTGCTGACAGCGTGATAGAAGCTGCCAATAATCAAGGTTTTTTTACAGCTGTTTGCCCCGCCGGCCTGACGCCTCTGCTCCAACCGCTAGATGTATATTGTTTCCAGGGGTACAAGCACTATTTGGCAGAGAAAACCAGAGACGCAGTAGACTTGTCCATGTCTTCACGGATGCAAATTTTGTTTGGAGCCTGCACGACTTACTTGAGTCGTCGGAGTTGGAAGTCTGCTTTTGGCCGGCTTCAATTAACAGATGAGCAAACGCCTGTGTCCCGGGGCCTGCAGGATGTATTTCCTGCCGGTTTGCCAACGTTGGACCCGCAGATGCCCACCCATGAAGATCTTGAGGACCTTTTCCCGTCTCGCCGTACACTGAATCACAGTGAATGGATTCGTGTTCCACTTCGCGCGGGAAGACTGCGACTTCGTGTGTAGGCCCTTGTTGGTTCTGTGCGTTTTTCATTGCCAGTTTGCCTACTTCCGAATCGTACTGTATGAAAGCCCCGCAGATGGAACCAATCTCTTAAAAGATCTTGTTTCGAAAGCACAGTGAGGTTCAGTGCTAACGCGCTGTGTGCAAAAGAAACGGCTCTGTGACGCAATTCTGTCCGACATGCTGTTGCAGAGACAGGGTTTCACGGCGCTGGACAGCTTGTGCACAGTCTGCAAGCTCGCTGCTAGCAGTTGTTTGTGTTGGAGTGGAGAGTGTCTGTGCGTATGCTATGTGGTGCATCCTGGAGCAAGAGCTCTTTATTGCTTCTGATTGCTTTCCGCCGGCAGGAAGGACCAGCTGCTGCCGTCGAGGCCGAGCCAAGTTCAGCAGGGTTTTAGACATAGTCAAACTGTGATGCTGTCCTACAGCCCCACAACCAGGTGCAGCGCTTGTCAAAGGAAATTGCGAGCACGCAGCAATCATTGAAGCGATTGCGTCGTGCAGTTTCCAACCTGTTTTTGACAGCTCGGCAGATTACAATTGTCTTGGCCGTTTACATGCTGTCGGAGTATGACATCGGGGTAGCTCGGGCTTATGTTCGTTTCGTCCACTGTCAACAGCGGACCAATGCTGATGCACACACTGAATACACTGATGCCACACTGGATGCCCGCATTGAAAACTGGTATCTCGAAGCCGCTCTAGACAAACTGGTGAAGCTTCAAGACCCTGGTCCAGTACGTCGGGAAGCTGTTCGGTTTTTGGCACAAAATCAGACAGGTTTTTGGGTTTCCAGGCAAAACGAGCGCGGCGTGGCGCCTACATCCGCTGCTACAGCATCGGTGTTTGTGCAAACCTGCCATAAATATGGAGTGCTGGAGCAGGCTTTGGTTAGATCAATCCACAACAACACGATCTCACACCGACATGGTCGCCACATGCGCAAATGGGCAAAACGATATCGTGAAAGGTTCCATCTGCGATTTGGTGTATTGAAGAGCGGACCAGTTCCAGGACCAGTTGAGGAGACTCGACGTAAGGCGGTTCGGCGGCATTTTGGTCCGTTTTTGCGTTCCCTAAACTGGTACCAAAAAAAGTGCCCAAAATGGGAACGTTAGTGGGAACGTAGATACGGGAAGGTCGAAAACCCATCCTCCCAAGGTTCCCCTTTTGAGACCCCAAGGTTGTGAAGTTTTTGCAGTGGGTTTCGTGGCTTCGAAGCAGAGTTCCGGCAGGCAAACAGGCCGTCTTTATCAATGTGGACGAAACTAGCATATCTCTGGCGCGGCCAGACCTCAAGGGCAATATCGTGCCCGGAAAGTGCACCTTGCAGCAGAAGGGAAAGCGTACAAGGGGTGCCTTGACCCACGTGGCCAGCATTTGCAACCGATCCGACATCCAGCCGTGTCTTCCGCAAGTGATTTTGAGCAACACACGTGTTGTGAGTCAGAAGCTGGCCAAATCGTTGTTGCCCCTGCAGCCGGAAACAGTGCGATTGGTACGGGGCAAGACTGGCTAGAGTACAGCTGCTTCCTTCGTAGAGTATTTGAAAATGCTTCGAGACGCACTATCACTGTGGCCAGAGATTCAACTTATCCTCGTGATGGATTGTGCTCCAGCCCATCTTGCTGACAGCGTGATAGAAGCTGCCAATAATCAAGGCTTTTTTACAGCTGTTTGCCCCGCCGGCTTGACGCCTCTGCTCCAACCGCTAGATGTATATTGTTTCCAGGGGTACAAGCACTATTTGGCAGAGAAAACCAGAGACGCAGTAGACTTGTCCATGTCTTCACGGATGCAAATTTTGTTTGGAGCCTGCACGACTTACTTGAGTCGTCGGAGTTGGAAGTCTGCTATTGGCCGGCTTCAACTAACAGATGAGCAAACGCCTGTGTCTCGGGGCCTGCAGGATGTATTTCCTGCCGGTTTGCCAACGTTGGACCCGCAGATGCCCACCCATGAAGATCTTGAGGACCTTTTCCCGTCTCGCCGTACACTGAATCACAGTGAATGGATTCGTGTTCCACTTCGCGCGGGAAGACTGCGACTTCGTGTGTAGGCCCTTGTTGGTTCTGTGCGTTTTTCATTGCCAGTTTGCCTACTTCCGAATCGTACTGTATGAAAGCCCCGCAGATGGAACCAATCTCTTCAAAGATCTTGTTTCGAAAGCACTGTAGGCCTTGCAAAGCTGAAGTGCTGCCGGACCATCTCGCTGCCATGCTTGTGCATGGGCCTGTCGTTGATGATTCTTCATCTTGGTATGGTCCGGGGTCCAAAAACCGCACAAAATGCACCGATGCTTAAGCTCCTGAGCCTCTGGCCGGGTGGCAATGGCGCTGAGTTTGTTGCTGGGCGAACTCTGCACCTTGGCGCAAAAGACCGCCGGCCCTGGAGGGCCTGACCCTGCATCTGTTTCTCAGTGGTGAGAGAGATCTGGCGCAGTCGTTCCGGCTGCGTGCAGGCCCCCGATAAGAGATGGTCACGTAGGCCTTTCCATTGATGGAAAGCCTTGTCGCATGCAGAACATACAGGTAGACCATCCTTGGAGTGCCAACTGCGATCAAAGAAGGGGGGAATGTACCTTTGTACGTGCTCGCGATGCATTCGCGTAACGTGCATGTGTAAGCCATGCGCAGAGACAAAACCCGACTCGCAGTGAGAGCAGGCGTGTAGCCGCTGCTGTAAGGCCTCGGTGCTCGCCGGAAGGTTTTCCACCTCTCTCAGCATGTCCTGTAGGTCCTGTACGACGTGGCTCAGTTGCGTAACGTCACCAAGCCTTTTTCCCTCTATTCGGGCTTTCGAAAAGCATCCGGGCTCTCGGCTTGACATGGGCGCGCCAGGCCTTCCACATGCCGCAGAACTGAAAGCAGGCGCCAGGCACAACCAGAAGAACAATTCGTGGTTCTTTTAACCCATCGCTCTTTAAAACCTATTGTACTTGTCACTTTGCTTGACTTTGACTCAGCCGTCGGTCGCCGAACGAAATCGGTGTAAGATTGAGCCAAAGCAAAAGAAACGATTCAGTCAAAGTTGGAACCACAAGACAATATAAGCAACATCCTAGTTTTGGCTTGACTTTCCCATGGATCTAAGACGCTTACCGTACTTCTCAGCTTGTTTGACTCAGTCGTCGATCGCCGAACGAAATCGGCTTGAGGCTGCTTGAGCCAAAGCAGAAAACAACCAAATTTTAACCCAGAAGACAATGTAAACAACGACATCCTAGTTTAAGGTTTAGTTTCCAATTATAAGGCTTAGGATCTTGGGCTTGGCTTGTACTAGGCGGCGCGTGCCGCGCAGATCAGCAGGTGTCGAAGGCTCCAACATGTTGCAGCACAGCGCGCTGGCCATTTCTCGAGCTGCAGTGCTTGGACTAATCTAGTAGTAGATGTCAGCTTTTAACGTTCATCGTAGTTGTGGTCCGGGTTTTCCTCTTAGCATTCAAGTTTAAGATTGTGACTTCAGGGTCGGCTGCTATCCCATATTTTAAGGATGTAGGTGCCGTGAAACCGCTGACCACCGCGACTTATCTCGAGCTATACGCTTTAAGGTGTCGGTGGTTTGGGTTCAGGGCAACTTAAAGTTATAGTGAACCCCAGAAAGTTGGATCATGGGTTTAGGATGATTAGTGCTAGGTGTTCCCTATGTTTTACTTGACAATTAGGATAATCATGTTCCAACTTTCTGGCTTCTACTGTAAGGGATGTCAGAGCTCAAGAATTGCACCAAGGACCAGGAAGGGTTGATCTGAATTTATAGATGGCATCGGGAGAGAGCAATAAAATGTCGTGCAAATGCACGCTGTGGCCAGAAGCCCACCGCATGATTGCTCGAATTTGCCAGCCGTCACCGGCAGCTTCCAGATTATCACGGTTTAGGGCTCTGCAGGTTCAGGGCTTCAGGGTTTAGAGTGTAGGGTTTCTGGTGTAGGCGTAGGGTTTAAGGGTTCGGGCTTAAGGTTCAAGCTCAAACCCTAAACCTTTATATGTGCCAGCATCCGCGCACCCCCCCCCCCCCCCCCCCCCCCCCCCATGGTAATCCCCCTCCCCCCCCCTGTGGTTCCTGTGGTTCCCCCCCCCCCTGTGGTTCCTCTTGGTTTTCCCCCTCCCTTTTGTGGTTCTTCTGGTTCCTGTCTCCCCCCTCCCCCCCTGTGGTTCCTGTGGTTCCTCCGCGTGGTTGCTGCTGCTTTGTTGTTGCTGCTGTTCTTCTTCTTGTTCTTGTTCTTGTTCTTGTTGTGTGGTCGCCCGGGTCGGGGGGGGGGGGATACCATTGGGGGGGGGGGGGGGTCGAGAACGCGGAGCGCGGGCACATATAAACCCTGAAACTCTAAACCGTGTATTATGTGAGCTAAACCCTAAAACAAGCGGCGGCAATTTCCTGCCTAAAACCGCGGACAGCTCTTCTTGGTGATGAGCGCGGGCTGGATTCATCACCAATGCAGTCCGCTGATTTCGGAAGCAAATCCGCGGACTGGGTTCATCACAAACGCAGTCCGCTGATTTCGGAAGGAAATCCGCGGACTGCGTTTGTGACGAACGCGGGCTGGATTCATCACAAATGCAGTCCGCTGATTTCGGAAGGAAATCCGCGGACTGCGTTTGTGATGAACGCGGACTGGATTCATCACAAATGCAGTCCACTGATTTCGGAAGGAAATCAGCGGACTGCTTTTGTGATGAACGCGGGCTGGATTCATCACAAAACGCAGTCCCGGGAGGCGGACTGCGTTTGTGATGAACGCGGACTGGATTCATCACAAAACGCATGTCCGGGAGGCGGACTGCGTTTGTGATGAACGCGGACTGGATTCATCACAAAAAGCAGTCATGCCAAGTCAAGCCATCACGCAAACAAACGTTCATGCTTCGGAAAATTATGTTGCGGGCCTCGGCTTCCAGAGGGTCTCGAAGAGGCCGTTCATCAGAAATGACCTGCGCGCGGCAACAGGCCCGAAAGCGATGAGCCAAGGCTCCGTTCATCACAAAACCATGCTTTTGACCCAGGAATTGGCAAGTGCGTGCCGTCGAGGACTCAAACATGCTTGCAGACATCTTGAAACCATGGTTTTTGTGATGAACGGAGCCTTGGCTCATCGCTTTCGGGCCTGCCGCCGTGCCCAGGTCATTTCTGATGAACTGCCTCTTCGAGACCCTCTGGAAGCCGAGGCCCGCAACAAAATTTCCAAAGGATGAACGTTTTTTTGCGTGACGGCTTGACTTGGCATGACTGCATTTTGTGATGAATCCAGTCCACGTTCATCACAAACGCAGTCCGCCTCCCGGACATGCGTTTTGTGATGAATCCAGTCCGCGTTCATCACAAACGCAGTCCGCCTCACGGGACTGCGTTTTGTGATGAATCCAGCCCGCGTTCATCACAAAAGCAGTCCGCTGATTTCCTTCCGAAATCAGCGGACTGCATTTGTGATGAATCCAGTCCGCGTTCATCACAAACGCAGTCCGCGGATTTCCTTCCGAAATCAGCGGACTGCATTTGTGATGAATCCAGTCCGCGTTCATCACAAACGCAATCCGCGGATTTCCTTCCGAAATCAGCGGACTGCATTTGTGATGAATCCAGCCCGCGTTCATCACAAACGCAGTCCGCGGATTTCCTTCCGAAATCAGCGGACTGCATTTGTGATGAATCCAGTCCGCGTTCATCACAAACGCAGTCCGCGGATTTCCTTCCGAAATCAGCGGACTGCATTTGTGATGAATCCAGCCCGCGTTCATCACAAACGCAGTCCGCGGATTTCCTTCCGAAATCAGCGGACTGCATTTGTGATGAATCCAGTCCGCGTTCATCACAAGCGCAGTCCGCGGATTTCCCTCCGAAATCAGCGGACTGCATTTGTGATGAATCCAGCCCGCGTTCATCACAAACGCAGTCCGCGGATTTCCTTCCGAAATCAGCGGACTGCATTTGTGATGAATCCAGTCCGCGTTCATCACAAACGCAGTCCGCGGATTTCCTTCCGAAATCAGCGGACTGCATTTGTGATGAATCCAGCCCGCGTTCATCACAAACGCAGTCCGCGGATTTCCTTCCGAAATCAGCGGACTGCATTTGTGATGAATCCAGTCCGCGCTCATCACCAAGAAATGCTGTCCGCGTTTGTAGGCAGAAAACTAGCTGCCATCGCTTTTAGGGTTTATAAGGGTTTATGGTTTAAGCTTTGACCTTAAGCTCGAACCCCTAAACCCTAAACCGGAAACCTTAAACCGGAAACCCTAAACCTTAAACCCTGAAGTCCTATAAACCTGCAGAGCCCTAAAACCGTGATAATCTGGAAAGTGCCGGTGACGGCTGGCAAATTCGAGCAATCATGCGGTGGGCTTCTGGCCACAGCGTGCATTTGCACGACATTTTATTGCTCTCTCCCGATGCCATCTATAAATTCAGATCAACCCTTCCTGGTCCTTGGTGCAATTCTTGAGCTCTGACATCCCTTACAGTAGAAGCCAGAAAGTTGGAACATGATTATCCTAATTGTCAAGTAAAACATAGGGAACACCT